CAGACTGATATTAATCTTTAATAGGGCTGTCGAAATAGAGAGCAAACAAAACAGCTGCTGTATAATGCCCTCTGCTATCTTAGTTTAATTGGTCACAGCTCCGAAAAGCTCCGTTTACACCTCCACACTGTGACACGAAAACGCCGTTTTCAAATGTATCTGCTTTGGAGAGCGTTTTCAAAAAGCTCTGTTTTCCTTGACCAAAAACTGCGACCAAAACGGAGAGAAAAAGATGCGTTTTCAAATGAAAACGTATCAGTGTGGACGAGGCTGCAGGCTGTGTTGATGTGACATGTGGTTACGGGGAGGAGCACGTCAGGTTATGGGCTAGATTATGCTTTCAAGTTTCAAAGGGATTTGCAGGTATGAAGGATCTTCGGGTAAATTTAACACAGCTGTATGAATCCTGTGAAAGGTGCTTTGGCAGTGCCAACAGAAAGTTACTGGAAGTATGCCATTTCCTGTTTCAGCTTCTATTTCAGTGCCACAGCTGTGATTTTCTTTTCCCATTCAGGAGAAGACTGCAGCGAGTCAAGCGTGCCAGAGCACGAGGATCAGTGCTTATAGGAGGTTTGATGACGTTACACTTCATGCAGTGACCGATGCCGCACTGAAAAGAATCCTTGATTAGGTTTACACAGAAAACACAGTTTTCAATTTGGTTTGATTGCTTCCCCATGCACCCTATTTCCAGAGTGCATGGGGAAGACCAAAAAGATTGACGCTCCAGCAACACTTGTATGTAGAGAAACTTTACTGGTAGACTTGCACGTTTCGGGTGGTAGCCATTCACCTGGGTCCCTGCCAAAGACTGAAACACATCAGTCAAACAAAGAGTGCTTTGCAAGTGTTCGTATTTCACGTGTTGGCAGTAAGAATCCATCACGTTATTGCCAGAATTCGATGCATCACAGCACCGAATCCAAAGGTCACCTTCTGTGTGATTTGGCGCTGACAGCTTTGAGAACACTGAAGTATTTGATGGGATGAGAGAGGCGGTGTATCGGAGTCTCTAGTTTAACGGCTCATTCACACCGTAGTTTACACGGCATGCAGTTTTCAAGTACATGCAGCAGGACTAAAAAAGATGAGTCGTGGGAGGGAGGGAAGTGGATGAGAGTGGACGGCCTCTGTCAGGCCACTCACTCCACAGCAACTTTGTAAAGGGCAAATCAATTCTTCTGACCCGAGAATTCCCTCGTTATCAGCGATCAATAAAGACGCTCCAGCGGTCACATGTCTGTTGGCATCTTGCTTTTTTGGGTCCTGTGTATCTGATCTGTGGTGCAATATGTCCTTATGGTTGTTTTGAAAGAGGCTAATGGGTCATTTGTGACATATTTCAACCTGAATAGTGCACCAGCAACATTATGGTGTGGAGTATGGGAGATTTTATGTCCACTGGTTATTTATTTTGGTAACAACCTGTTTTAATTTGTCTGAATGTGGTAAAAATGAGTATTTGTAGAGTTTTTATGCCACACACTTTGAACAAGAAGCACATGCAACTTAATCCATGTATGTCTTTACAGAGGAGAGTGGACACCTTCTGAATCAGGTTAGCCAGGTTACAGTAACACATGCGTAGACTTGTTGTAACTGGCAGTTGTAATACAACTTCATTAGCAGATTCATGAGTTTGTGCTTAAGTATCACCAGAGATGGTAGAAATGTCAAGCATTTTTCAGGCTTTTGATCTTAAACCTAAGTAGGAAAGAGTCGAAGAGTAAAACTGAAGGGATTTCTGTTGCAGTCTACTTCACAAGGAGCTGGATTGTCATCAGGTTTGAGAGATTGTGGTAAAATAATTGACTTTCACTCACCAAAATTAGAGCACAGACTTCCTGGGAGGTCTGCAGCACAAAGCAGAGTATATTGTGTAGAAGTTAATTCCTATAAAAATGCACCAACAGCACAAATTTGATAGAGGACTCCAGTTCAAATCAAATCAAATCACTTTTATTGTCACATCACATGTGCAGGTACGCTGGTACAGTACATGCGAGTGAAATTCTTGTGTGCGAGCTTCACAAGCAGCAGAGTTGTGCAAAAATACAATAACATAAAACAAGCAAAATATAAGAATGGCTAAATCTGAGACTAATAAATATATGTACAATATATAATAGTATATGCATCACTGGATGTGTATACTAAATATGTTTTTCTACGTGTGTGTGTATACATATTTTACAAATTAAATAGAGTAAGCAATAAAATAAAATATATAAAAATATACTGAGGTTTGTAGTTGGATAGTCAGCGACTCAGATTAGATTAAAGGACTAAAAGTAGAAATTATGGCTTCAAAGTGTCAACTCTGTACAGCTGTTTTATGAAGGTGACTGAAAAAAGAAGAGGCCAAAAATAGAAGAAGGAATCAAAGATTTTAATACTTTTTAATGCTGTAAAGTTGAGCATTTTAACAGGGGAGTCAGCCTCAAGTGGCCATTAGAGGAACTGCAGTTTTTGGTACTTTTGTGTTGGCTTCATCTTTTAGAGTTTCAGTCAACTGCCAGTTAGATTTGGAAAGAAACAGCACTTTCAAATTGTTTTCAAGGACTTCTCAGAGGGTTTTGCATAAAAAAAACCCCAAAAACTATCTGGACAGTTTGTGCAAAATCTCTATTTGATAGTTGCCAAACCTTTGCGTGTAAGATCTCCTGGTACAGCCAGACGGAAAGTCCGAAACCAGAAGCATTTATCCTCTGGAGGAAATTACTGTCTGTTCAGAGTTTGAGAGATAGGAGTCTGCACCAAACTGGTGGAGTAAGAGAACATGTGCTTCTAAAATGTACTAATGTGCATTTATGTGTGTGATGAATGATCTCTGTTTGGCTGTTAGGCTCTGTGTGTGTGTGTGTGTGTGGAGGTTGTTTTGTGTAACTGACATTTCTTTAAACATCCCTGTGGTGTAACAGTGCATGTTAATATGCAGCCGTCCGGCTCGGCGCACACGTGTGATGAAGAGGAGCTGTCTCCGTCTCTGAAAACAACCGTGTGCTGATTCATGTGTGTTTTGTTAGTGGAAAACATTATTAGAGCAGAGCTTTGGACATGTTGTGAGAGCAGAGCCAGTGTTATCTCCAGACCGTATCCTGACAGCGTGATTGAATCTTCATCATTTTATGTCTGCCTCTTTAACCGTCTCTTCAGATCTTTGACCAAAGATTTTCTTCTTTGTCTTCACAGATACGCGATGGCCCTCTACAACCAGCACGTCTGCCCTGTGAACAACTGGTACAGCACTCACACACACATAAACACACACATAAACACACATATCGGGTTCATTTTAAAGACCACAGTATTGGTCAGCAGTTTAATGTTGCTTCAAAGCACCAAAGAGACACAAGCTGCATCTCCGCCTCAGGAACGTTCCCAAAGAGACGAGGAAACTTTTTCCAAATTGTTTCCAGTCCAGTGACCAGAGGTCACTTTCACAGAGACAGACTTTTGACTGTGGATTAGATTAAAAAAAAAGAGTCAGAGACGTCTACACTACACAAAGTGCTTCAGACCTTAAGCAGGATTGTTGCACAATGTCTCAAGACTACATTCAACTGTTCAGCTCTGCTTGGTTAAACCACTTTCATTTCTAAAGCGCCAAATCAAATCACAAATCATAACAGTCATTTCAAGGTGCTTTATTTTGCAAGGTAAAGACTCTACAATAACAAGCACTTGGCTACAGTGGGAAAGAAAAAATTCCTTTCAACAGGAAGAAAGCTCAAAGATGCTAAAAACATTGTGACTTCAGTTCAGTTCTTTTTTATTTCAAACGTATACATTCACCAACGTTTCATAAAATCATTCCATGCAGTTGTTTGAAAAGTAGGCAGAAGTATATACTTATTTAGCCCCCTCAGGTTTACATCCTCATCATCTAAATTTGAACAACAAAAACGTTACAACGCCTTCAACTTAGAACATAACATCACAAAACAATATTTTCTCATGTTCAACTAAAACTATATTTAGATTTGCTAATTTGCAGAAGAAAATAAACATCAGTTTGACTGCTGTCTTGGTTTAATTGCATTTTCTTCATTCTTATACTTATTTAAAATTTCTTTTTTGAGTTTTAAACTGGTTTATATCACTACTGACCTTTATTTCTTCTTTTAACTCATTCCAGAATTTAACTCCCGCTATTGAAATAGAAATCCTTTTCAATGTTGTTCTTACTCTTTGTAATTTTAAATTCCACTTCCCTCTAAAATTATGCCTCCCTTCTCTTTCTAAGAACCATTTACTTATTTCGATTGGGAACATCCCTTTCCTTGCCTTATATATTATTTGCACTGTTTTAAACTTCACCAGATCCTGGAATTTTATAGCTTGCGTCCTAATAAAGAGTGCGTTTGTGTGAGCCCTTATGTACAAAAACATGTTAACTAATGAGTCTTGCAAAGCATCACCACTTAAACCAGAAGTTGAGATTTCTCCATTGGTTGAAAGACTAATTTGTGTGATCTTCAGTGGCCTTTAATATAGATCACAGTGGAAAATATCAGGGTTCCTTGAGTGGAAATGCAGCTTCAGAGATAAATAGAGTTGAGTATTTAATTAAAGCGACTGATTTTTTTTCCTTAAAAAAAAAGGAGGGAATCTTGGATTTATATTTACAAACTAAAACTGCAGGGATGATAACAATGATTGTCCTTATTTGCTGAATGAGTGAAGCAGCGAGTGTTGGATAACATTTTCATCATATCAGATTAGAAGTTGATAAGTTCTCTGAGTGTTTGTAAAAAATCAGCCAAATCAAATAATGAGGGTTAAAGATTCACTCTGTGTGTTTACTTGTAAACAGGAGCGTGTCCTTAACAAATAAAAACACATAAAACAGACTTTTAATAAAAATCCAACGTTGTCTCTCTCAAGCTGTGTTCGGGGTTTGCTTGTTCTCCACGGGTACTCTGGCTTCCTCCCACAGTCCAAAGACATAGAGTGGGGTTAGGTTAACTGGTGATTTTAAATTGCACATAGGTGTGAATGGTCGTCTGTCTCTAAGTGTTACACTCTGACCAGTCTAGAGTGGACCACATATCTCCATAGTGCTGTATCTGCAAATATATGTCAATTTAGGCCCTGTCTACATGCATATGCAGGTATTTTAGTAAATACAGGTTTATATTTATAGATAAAATGTTACAAACCGAATTTTTAACATTTGTAATGCAGGATTGTAGTTTGCTATTTTGCATTTGAGTTAAACGAGACATCGGTTTGTGAGTCACTTGCATACAAATGGAGAATAGAAATCAAAATAAAAACAAAGTATGCAGCTGAGCATTAACTGTGTTACATAAAAGACCTTTCACCTGAAAACATTTTGAGTTAATTTTCTACCGTCATTTGCGTACAGTAAGAGCGCTATCATGCCAAACGTGTCGCAGCTGATGCTCAACCATTAACAGAGTTTTCAACACGTTTGGTCACTTCAGTTTCCCTGAATTGACATCGATCTCGTGTGAAACACTAAGATCACATTTTTACTCAACCTTTTCACTGGGAGTTAGACAACCTACATTTCGATGACCCCATGTAAGCAGTACTTGGCAACAGTGGAGAAGAAGAACTCACTTTTAACAGGAACAAACCTCCTGCAGATTCAGGCCACAAACAGCAAACATCAGTCAATAAACATAATGACATAAAGTAGTGGAATGGAAACACACGGAGACTAAAAAGATGAGTGGAGAAGAAGTGCGTAGCATCATGGGAAATCCCCCAGCAGTGTGGGCCCATAACAGCAATACTCAGGGGTCACCTGATCAAGCCCATCTCGGATAGGTGGGGGACACTGTGTACAGGCTGCCAGTGTATTGCTGAAACAACACACAGAGACAGATGACCAATCACATTCAGCTAACCGCACTAACTGCATGTCTCTGGACTGTGGGTGGAAGCTGGAACCTGTAGAGAACTCACGCATCCAAGTTCAAATTTTATTCGCCACATGCAGTGGCAGGTTGCCCTGCAGTGGAATGAACCCGCCCCCCGACCTTACACACAA